AAATAATTTCATTGGTTTTTGTTTAACAATAGTGTTGTTTAACATTATGATGTGGTCAAAGTTAAAATGATGTCCCACTTTGTTTACGTTTTTAACTTACGGATTTTTGCAAAATCTCTTATTTTCACCTACGTATGTATGATATATTTTCATGGGTGCATGCGCAGCATTTCACCAGAACTGACAATTACTACGCAATTACTTGAAATCTTACGTAGGGGAGAGTGCGGAAGTTGACGCAAATTTGCGAAATCTCCCTAATGCTACAAATTAAAGTCCAGAGGCTTTTCATTTATTTAAAAGACTAGCTGAATACCCATTCCTCGTAAGGGAAGAAAAAAAACGCAAGTAATTATTAAATCAGTACTGAACTCTACAAAATGGCGCCATAACTGAAAGCCATATGCCAAAACAATAAATAAAGTTTAAATAATTTTGATTTTTTTCATTTATTATTACGTTTTGTCCTTGCCAGTGTCTTTGCGTTATTAGATTAAACAAAACACATCTTTAATCCAGTCAAAATAAAGTGTTCAGTATCCTTTGAGGCCAACTCACAATAGTCAAAATTTATCATAATCAAGCGATTTTCTTCTGTTCTTATCCATCTCGGAGAGGTTGTAAAAAACCTTCATTACAGTATCTATATTAAAAATTCACAATATTGATACCAAATATGCAAATATAATACCTCTTTCTATATCAGTACAGGGAAACCTCTCTGGAGTGACTATTCCCTGTCCCACAGTAAAATGGAAAATGGCTGTTAATGGAGATGGGTCGTTCCTAGGAGTTACCTCCATTGACTTCAAAATGTAATCAAAGGTACATGATTTTTCGCAAACCATTTTAATTTAAGTCAATGTTATTTTCTAGATGCAAAATTCCACTTGTGTTGGCGTCATGAAAACCGGATCGATGAATTAAATTTAGCGTCAATAAAAATGATCCCTACTGATATAATTATGTTAATGTGCCTAGTTTTTCTAAAAACAAATTTACCAATTACAAAGCTATTTTAAATAAGTAAACATATATGTTTTTTGTTTAAGTTTGCATTTAGTTTTAATATCATAAAAATTAGTCAGCTTTAAAAGATGAGAAGATGTTTGTTTTTCTGAAATGCTTAGTTTCTTTAAAAATTACTTTTTTTTCTAATTTAACTTTCAATAAATAAATCATTAATAAATAAATTTCTAAAAATGAATCATTGATAGCATCGTCTTTTGTGTACTCTGACTGCAACATGAGTTCGAGATATCTTTCAGATATCGTCAATAAGAGTTCTCTAAATAAGAGCCTTACACAAACATTTTGAATATATTTTAATCAACTTATTTGTTTCGTTAACATTTTTTGTTTCGATATTTTTTCGTGTTTACTTATTTGACCTTTTCCACATTTTATGCAGTGGTTTGCCCGGTCTCTAGGAGAGGTTTTGATGGTCTCTCTCAAAGGTTTTCTTCGACACAAAAATCTATGGAAAAAATTCCGTGCCCTCCGATAACTTTTCTAAATAGTCCGGGTAGCTACATAGAGGTGGTCCTTCCTGGAGGTTTCACTGTATGTATGAGTAAAATATACTAATGTAATGCTTTGTACCTATGCTTTAATATATTAGGTATATCTATTAAAACTGAACGAATTCCCATAATAACAGTAGTACTTATTACCAAAATTAATTAAACATTATTGGCGATAAAGATACTATGGCCATTTTTTAAGTTTCTCCTAAATGAATTAGTATTATTTTTGCTTTTATAGCACACAGATTAATTTTATTTCCATTAGTATGAACTACTAAAATTAATAAAGTATCATTGGTGTTAAAAATAGTATAGCGATTTTTAACATTACTCCTAACGAATTAGTACCATGTATCCATTATATTTGCATTTTAGAACATAGTTTAATTTTTAATTTTTTTTATTTATTTTAACACCTATTATCAAGATAATTTAAGAATCGTTGTCATCAATAACATTATTTAGATTTTTTAGGCTGCTACAAATCAGCACCATTTACCCATTGATTTTTTTTATTGGCTTACAGCTTTCTTTTATTTCAGTAAGCATCTATTACAAAATTTAATTTAGCAACATTGGCATCAATAATAGAATAGAAATTTCTTACTTTTCTTTTAAACGAGTTACTATCATTGCTCTTTTAATTTTGCTGTTTAGTACGTAACTTATTTTTTTCTGTTTTAATCGGTATCTATTACCATAATTAATTAAGCGATATTGGTACCAATAACAATGTGGCGATTATTTACCCTTCTATTAAAGAATTAGCTTCATTTTCCCATTAATTTTGCCTTCTGGTTATATCTTTTTTTCTTCTTATTTCAATTAGTATCTAGTAAGAAAATTAATTAAGCAACAGTGGCTTATAGCGATTATTTATGGCTCCTTTTCTCCTTTTATTTTGCTTTTCAGAACATACCTTATTTTTCTGATTTAATTTGCCCTTGATTTGAAAGCATTTAGTTTTATTGAAACACGTTTTCGTATAACAAAAATGAACACGTGTTTTCGGATAACCTTAGAAATACTAATTTGGTGACGTTTCCCACCTATACATACACTTAAGTTTATTCGACATAACGAACAAATATAATTAAATAACGAGCGAGCAATAAACTCCATTTTTTGTTAGTAAGAGACCAGACATCAATGATGTTTGTGTTTAAAATGTTCGATAAATTTGAATCATAGTTTATTTTAAAAGGATGGTTTGTTGACAAGGAAACAATGGCAGCCATTGAGAGAATACCATTTCTCAAATGCCTTTCTCGAATGACATAAGAGCAATTTTTGAAAGATTTTTAGGGTCGGGGATTAAAATTGCCTCTTTTATCCGCTGTCCAAATTTCAAGACGCTAGAACAAACAGTTCTCGAGTTATGAGAGACATGCACACACAAACAGAAACACAACCACTTTATTTTATTATTATAGATAATATCAGTGATGTTTGCCAACTTACAGCTCTGTTTAATCAAAAAAGTTGCTTATAGCACGTTCATCAGGGAATATTTATTTTCGATTCTTCCTGTCCAAGAAAACGAAAGTGATATGGCATCAGCGAAATTATAAAGTCTAATCCAGAGGTTGAACTATATCACTTGACTATTATCATTCCATCATTTGCCGTAATATTTTGGTTGTGTTATTGTTGGTTGCAAATTATTTGTATTAATTTGCTTAGAAGTAATACTGATCCCAAATAGTTCTACCGGCAACTCGTTGATCATTAATAAATTTTCAGTAGGCAGGTAACTGAGGTGACGTCAGTTTAAGCAACTTTATGGTTTGAAAACTGAACTACATGATTGTTTTTCTTCATAGTTTACTCTTTAGAAGCATGCTTCTGCAATCTCCAATCATTGAAAACTGACTGTCATTGAAAANTAGCACGTTCACCAGGGAATATTTATTTTCGATTCATTTCTGTCTGGCAAGCTCAAGAAAACGAACGTGAAATGGCATCAGCGAAATTTTAAAGTCTAATCCAGAGGTTGAACTATATCACTTGACTATTATCATTCCATCATTTGCCGTAATATTTTGGTTGTGTTATTGCTGATTGCAAATTATTTGCATTGCATTAATTTGCTTAGAAGTAATATTGATCCCAAATGGTTCTACCGGCAACTCGTTGATCATTAATAAATCTTCAGTAGGCAGGTAATAGAGGTGACGTCAGTTTAAACAACTTTATGGTTTGAAAACTGAACTACATGATTGTTTTTCTTCATAGTTACTCTTTAGAAACATGTTTCTGCAATCTCCAATCATTGAAAACTAACTGTCATTGAAAAAAAAATTTAAGATTTTTACGTAATTGCAATTATTTAGAATAATGTTGATGAGTTGAATTCCTAAAAACGTGTTTTGCCTCGCCTTATAACTTTAAGTTCCAGAGAAAGGCTGTATTTAATAATAATAATTATCTGAACTCGTCTTCCAGCTGACTGATCGTAAGACATGGTTCCCAGTATATCACCGAATTCAAATATTACGGGCAGTGAGTTGACCACTTTGATGAGCGTGAGAAGGAACCAAGAGTACCCGGTATCAGAAAATTTTGATGTCATGTCTCACTATTTATCGCACTTTTTACATCCATCCTAAAATCATCACAATCATTTATCACATCCCAGACCGTCGCCATAATAGTCCATAGTACAACTCAAGTGCGACGCAAATAAAGTACTATTACTACTACTACTTTAACTGAGTCAATTGTACCGGTATATTTTAGTTTTGAGTGTGATTATATAGTTTTGATTGAAGAACGGGTATTCAGCTAGCATGCAATAAAAATACAAAAAAACATAGTAAAAAAATGTTAAACATGATAAATTTAAAAATACCTGTAAAACAAGATCACGCGATAAATTTTAAGAAAATGATAGTATAAATTTCAATATAATATATTATGGACGAAAACATGTAGTAAAAACAAATATACACGCTTTTATTTATATTGTATACGAACAATAAATTTACTTAGTCTACTGAAACCTTACTTTACTACATTGTCTACTTTACTACATCTACAGAAATATTTATTGGTTCTGAAGAATTGGATTTTTATGTTATTTGTATCAAGGGGTGTTTTCATGATAATTTAAATACAAATAAAGTTACACGATATAAGTAAAAACGCAGCAAAAACAATAAAAAAATGTCTATAAAACAGTGTTGCAAGAACTGTAAAACGCCTGCAAAACATTGCCGCAAGAACTGTAAAACATAGCAAAAAGCTTTCTCCTTTACTAGCAGATGTCATACTTAAATGATTTATCTGTCTTATTATCGAACAGATTTACTACAGCGAAAAGTCATTTGCGGCAAAGAAATTAAATAGCTTATAAAACATAAAAAAGAAAAACTAACTTCGAAGAAAAAGAAACCGAAAAGTGCGCAAACTTTAAACCAATCAGGATGGGAGTTACTTTCTCACATAGAGGGCGCTTGAATAGCAGTTAATAGTGACCAGCCCATTTACTGCAGACGAATTTGAATTAGAAACAAATATACTTTCGGTTCAATTGTATCAGGGCTTTGTGTCTGCCTTTTGGAAAAGAATGCAGGGATTGACTTCAAATATGATTTTTATTTCTGATATGATGATAATTCGTCTGAACTTGCATTCTTGTTTTGATGTTTAATTTTGTTCTTTATAAATTTGTGTTCTACCGCATGCTTCCATACGCTGAATCTTCCACAGACGATTTTTCAGCAACGTGTTTATTATTCATCCAATTTAGACGTAAGACGTGCTGTAACGAGTTAAAAGGCGTCGTCGTTACCTTAGCAACTACAATTGTCGATCGCATTACCATGGGGACAGGTATGTCATTTTAAAATCATGATTAAAGATTAGTAATTGGTCAATTAGAATTATGTTTTGGTTACTTGTATTAGAAATTGAAATCTATCTGACGAGAAATTTGCATAGAACATAAAAATTTACACGAAAATTTCTAACGTGTATCACTAACAAATAAGTAATAAGTTCTTCAATAATCAAAATTGACAGATCATAGATTTTTTAAAAAAAAGTGTAAAAAAATATTTTAATCAGAGTTTTCTAGCATTCTGTCCTTGAAAATAAAAATGTCTTTAAAACTGAAAATAAAAAATGCGTTTAAAATGCTATAAAAATGCTTTTAAACTGTTGATTATTTTAATTTATATAGATATTGTCATTTTAAATAAATTTAAAATCTAGACAAAAATTAAAACTATAACATTTATTGTTCTATTTCATTTAATTATAAACAGATTTGTGTTAAAGACTTAAAACTTTAAAAATATTCTCATAGAAATAAAATGTGGAACTTAGATTTACACGCAAGCAACAGAGAGGTCCGAGGTTTGTTCTTCGAAATCCTCGAGGCGAAATCTTAAAAAACTGAACTTTGCTACTATCTATCAAACTTAACTGAAGAACAAAACTTTATATAGCCATATCCAAAACTGCATGAATAAATAAATAAAATACTATAACAATGTTTTGAAACTCTTGTTCTGAAATGGAAATAATAATTTAAAAACATCTTCGGTAACTTTTTTAATTACTTCAGATCGTGCTAAATTGTCTAGCTATAAAATTTTATCGATCGATTGCTAAAACTATGGGAATTAAAATTTATACAGTTACATAACAATTAGACAAGCAGATGATTAGTTGAGAAATATGATTTTTTTTGTGATAGATATGTTTATATAATAAATTAATTTTTTTTCCGATTTATCTGATGATTAAAAACTTTTCGCTTTCAGTTTGTTTAATTATATTACCAAAGGTAATAATGTTCATAATTTGTGTTTAGTGCGTGTACGTTTTGTTATTTGTTGTTTTAATAGTTTGTTGTTTTATAGTTTGTTGTTTTACATAGTTTATGCTAACTATATTTATTATGTACTATGTTTAACTATGTTACTTATGCTTAGTACAAACTATTATGAAACAACTACAAAACAATAAACAATTTACATAGTTTATGTTTACTGATATAGTGTGTGTCTATATATATTGTAATATACCCAACAAGAACTATAAAAATCTAATATTGGATAAAAATTTAAGGAATATTAGAAATTGCTAGATTTATTTCATGTTTGTATTTATTTTAACTACAAATGCAATAATAAAAAGATAATTTGATAAAAATTGTAAACTCCATTAAGTACAAAATAATAAAATAAAACTTGAATTGAACTTCATTAGATATAAGTAAAAAGATTCTATTCAATATACAATTATAAATTGCAAGCACTGATTTAAATTAAATATTTTTTTCCTTCTTTTTTAAGTTCAATTCTACCTTTTTAAAAGCAGTTTTCTAAAATATTTAAGCAACGAAAATTTTATCAGTTTCATAAATCTTATAAAAATTACGGATTATTATTTGAATAACTTATAATAGATATTAGAACTTTTTAAGAATAATAAAAATTATTATATTATAGTAAATACTGTATATTATTATGCAGTAATAATTTGTAATGCTTAACATGATTTTTGTAGGCTTAACATGATTAAGAAATAAAGCTCTTAGTTTTTTCTTGCTAGTAATAGAGTTTTACAAATTAATGTTTTTGTTTAAACTATTCGTGTAATAATTTCTTTTTTCAAAATTCATTCAGTAAAAATGTGAGAATTAAATAAAAATCAGTGCAGTTAAGCAGATTAGTGTCCTCAAAAAAACTAGTAGAAACATTCGGAAGCTCACCTCTTAACTATTCTAATTATTTCAAAATAATTATTTCTGTTAGAAAATCTCTGAGAGGGATTTCCGTTCTCAGAATATTAAATTGGAAAGGTAAAACGAGTTTTCAATTATCCGTGTAGAGATTTTAGTACCAGTTTTTAATTTTTCCGAGGACGCTGGTTAGTTAAATATTTCAATTTCTAGTTTTCTTTTTAAATAAAGATTTCCAAAATGAAATTTACTGATTCCGAAACTTTTGTCTTCCTTAAATGAACAATATTATTTTTTTAAAGTATAATGTTAAATTCAAAAAAACAGCTGCTTATTTAATTCAATTTAATTTATCAGACAGCGTGTCACGTTACATAATGAGGGACTGAAAGTATTATGCATGCATTTTGGACTTGCTGGCCGAGTCAAGGTCACCACCTTTTAGTCGCTAATCAATCAGTTTATTAAATGAGACTTATTGACCTAAATTGCAAATTAACATACATCAGAGCTTTGAATCGTTATAGCAATTAAAACATTAAATTTATTGGTGCTTTATTTATTAAATTGTAGAGCATTCTCCATTTTACAGGAATTAAAACCAACATTTAGATATTTTTCTAATGAAATTTAATTCAAAATTAATGTCTGAGCCAACAATGTTATTTTGAATTAATGACCTTTGGAATTCGAGTAATTGTTAATTGGTTAAAAAAATTTATTAGAAATCCAAAATTTAAATGGAATCTGTTGAATTTAAAAATACGACTTTATGAAATTTTATTTTTCAGAAACTCTTTGGTTTCATACAAATTTTGTATCTTGTCATTTAAAATTCTACAGTTTGCAATGAAAATTTTTTTTAGAGTACTCAAAATTTAAATTAGGTTTTTTTTAGTGTAAATAATTCAAAATTAATATCTTAGCCTAAATAATACAATTTTATTTTAAATAAATGGCCTATGAAACTTGAGTAATTGGCAACTAAAGAAAAATTTATTAATAGATAATAGAATACAAAATTTAAACTTAATCTGTTAAATTTAAATTTACGACTTTTTTGAAATTTTATTTTTCAGAAACTATTTGATTTCATTAAAATTTGTCATTTAAAATTCTACAGTTTACATGAAGGAAAAATTTTGGAGGATTCGAAATCTAAATTAAATTTTTTTTTTTACTGAAACTAATTCAAAATTAATGTCTGAGTATAAATAATACAATCTTATTTTAAATAAATGGCCTATGAAACTTGAGTAATTGACAACTGAAGAGAACTTTATTATAGAATTCAAAATTTAATCAGAATTTGTTAAATTTAAAAATGCGAGTTTTTTTTTAAATTTATTCCTCAAAAACTATTTGATTTCATTCAAATTTTCTATTTTGTCGTTTAAAATTCTATAGTTTGCAATGAAGGAAAATTTTGTAAACCTTACAATTCAAACATTTCTTGGAGGTTATTAACTTAAGTCTTAAAATAAAAATAAGTCTTAAAAAATATAGATTTTGAGTTGAATTGTTTTTGGATAAACACAGATTTTATTATTGCCTGCAAAGAGTTATTGGTTATCTTAAAATAGTTGCAGAGATAAGACGATAAGGGAAATTAACATTAAAGTGTCCCAATTCTCAGTCGAAATTTTAACTGGGATCATATTTTCCACATTGAGTCTGCCCCCTTTTTCCATATTTTGAGGGAGAGGAATCCATAAATGTATGTTTAAATAAATGTTTTGTGTCTGAATTTTTAATTAAAACTTTTGTCGGATCTCAAATCATTAAGATTGTGTACTTTGGTACTTGAAAATCCGATTATTATATCAAAAAATAACGAGTTTCGCTTATTTAGCACACTATACGTTATTTTAATTAGTACTCAAAAATAAGTTTGAAAATTTTCGTTTCTATAGGTTTCATCTGTTAAATAAAAAAAAAAAATAAAANCTTTTTTTTTTCTAATGATTCTTTTATACCTGCTTTAAGAAATTTAGCATTTCTTAGACATAACTTTGAAACGAGAATATTAATAAAATATTGCACATAAGATTTTTTTTAGCATAAGTGTTTATCATATTGCATCTTTCGATGCAATTTTGTTTTTCTAAGTAAGTTTTTTTTTCCTAATGGTTTTTTTTTTATACTTGAGTTAAGAAATTTAAAATTTCTTAGACATAACTTTGAAACTTATTTGTATTGAAAAATTAAACTTTGATGTCAATAGTTTAAATTTTAAATTTCTGATATTTTTCTTGCAAATTGTGATCAAATACCTTAATTTTTTTTCGTAAATGCAAAAATTTGCGTTTTTTTTAGCAGTTTAGATTGTTTTCAAAAGTTAAATTTTCGATGCCTTGAAATACAGTTTTGTATCTAGTTATTACAGCAGGTAGAATATTAAATGTTTATTTTTTTTTTTTTTGCATTTAAGTTAAGTAAAAACGAATTGCGTCATTCTTCTTTTTTGCATCTTTTAATGGAACTTTGTCTCATAGTGGAATTTAGAAAACAAATGGTTGATAAAATCGCATTTTGAAAAGGGGAGAGAACTAAGGATCTTATTTTATTTATTTATTTACTTAGTTTTTTCTTATGGCCGTTTACCAGACTTTCTGTGAAATATCTTGTTTTTGTAAATTTGTGAAAAAATCTACTAACAGTTTAATTAATTTGTAACATAAGGTCCTGTTTTTTGATTTTGTGAAAAATCTACTCGTAACTTTTTGAATCTCATAATTACTGGAAAATGGGGTCTTTCTACCAGTGACAAAAATAGAGTTATTTAAAGAGTTTTTGTTTTAAACTTATGAATATTCCTACTTTTCAAGGGAAGAATTTTGAGAACAAATCTTTTTTAAAATAAAAAATTTCTGTGAATATTCAGTTTTCCGTAGGTCAAATTTTGTGTTGGGTCTGTTTAAACTGTAAAAAAATTTTTTTTCGTGAATTGCTCATTTAAACGATAAAAAAAAATTTAAATGCAGGTTTAAACGATAAAAAATCTAGTGAAAAGTCCATTTAAAGGATAATAATTTTTTTTTTTTTTTTTTTTGTAAAATTTTCGTTTAAGCGATAAAAATTTTCGACAGGTTCGTTAAAGGATTTCCAAATTTCTTCTAAAATGACCTCTAAAAGCATAATA